ACCGCTGGATTGTCTTCTGGATTGTGCGACGTGAACAGCTGAATTCTTCTGCCAGTTCCTTGGTAGTACAGCCTGCCTCTGCCTTGGAGACAATACTATCCCTTTGGCGAACAGACAATTCACCACCTGGGACGCGATCTCCTGAAATTTCAGCTCCAAAAGCCCTCATTGTGGTTGTGCAGTAGCGGGTTGAAGTTGTGATGTTGGTCATTGCATTTGTGGTGGTTGGGGTTCAGCCCGTGCGCCGCGAACAGATTAATGCCTTAGTACAGTAGCATCTGCGCAACGACAAATTGAAGCGCCCAAACGAGCATGTCCGCCGATGCACGGTTTCAGACATTGGGTAGCGGATGTCTGCGGGAAGTAGCGAAGGTGCGGAGAGGGTTACGCAGCGATGGTATTGGACGTCACGTTAGTCCCTCGTAACACCAAGATCTTGGGACAGATGTCGATGAGGTTCGTAACGTTCGCTCCGATTTCGACTTCGAGACACGACAAGAACTATGCATTGCCTGCTGACTAAGTCAAGTCCTGCGTCCGTTCGTCCAGTTTGTGGCGACATCATCTCGACGGCTCGTTGAAAGAACCCTGAGTATACTCTGCAGTCAACATAGGATGTATGAAGAAAGAGTTTGTGACAATGAGACGGTTGCAGTGATTGACATTCACCGAGGCTCTGGAGATTCCTCCGGCCAAGCTGGCCCGAGCCACATCGCAGCTCCAAGATTCATTATCTTGTCAGATCATTGTCTAAGCAGTGCGGACCAATGTTGAGTCGATGAAAATTCGGAGAGCGAGAGCAACGGCAGGAACGCGAGGCTGGTCTTGGCTTCCATTGTCAGTGGTGCCTCGGCGTCCAAACGCCCCGCATCCCCATCGCTCCTTCTGGACACCAAACATCACAATCATGCAAGCGTTTCCCACGGTCCATTCGCTTTCGGACTCGTCAACAATGACTGTGCGCACCTCCAATGTGCTGCGCCTCATTGTGCGTCAATGGGGACGACGAGGCTCAGCACAAAGGGCTTGGGCGCCTGGCGAAAAGGGCAAAGACGCACGGGACTCCGCCTTTCACCGTTTGTTGCCTGTCTCTTCATGGGCGCAAACGTCGTGAACAACTTTAAAAAAGAATAGATGAAGGGCGTTCGACGCCGAAACCTTTCCAGTTGCTGCCTATATGACAAGTATAAAGATGGTGCGTTCTTCTTGTTTGAGAAGCATCACGAAGGTGATAGGAATATCACTTCTTCGATCCGACTTGTCTCCAGGACGTTCCTGCCATTCTTTACCTTCTCGCAGTAGACCTGCTGATAGCATGGCCTCCACTAATAGAGCGTTTACTCTGAACGCTCTGCACCGTCGACTATTGAACGACATTGCTGAGATACAGCAGAATCCGTATCCCAACGTACATCTACAAGTGGATGAGCAGGATTTCCACAAGGCCTGTCTCATCCTCTCGACTGAAGCGTACGGGCCGTTGCACCTCTTCATTGAGTTTGGTAACGACTACCCGCTTTACGCTCCCACGGTCACCATCCAAAGTCACATCGTTCACCCCAACATCTATGGAGATTACATATGTGCCAGTATCTTGAACACCACCGAGGGCTGGACACCGGCCTACACACTGAAGGGCGTACTTATCCAGTTGCTGAGCTTCTTCACTAGTGAGTCGCTCGAGCAAGACCATGGTGGGAATGCAGTGGATTTGCAGGAGTTTCGCCGAAAACAGACCGGGCAACGCTACACTCGATTCGAGAATTCATACGAATTCTTCTGTGACAGTTGTGGATTCAGTCCTGATTGGAAGCCCGCCCCTATCACCAAGGATACCAAGAAAGTGGTGACGGCGTCACCAGCAACTATCTCGAAGCTACATACACTTCCTGTCGAGGTTGTGCTTCTCATGTTGGAGAAGATGCCTACGGAAGATGTCCTTACGCTCGCCGACGCTGTTCCATCCGTCAAACGCACCGTTCACTCCTACGACTTCATTCGTGCGCGCGAGCTTCAATGCTTCTGTCTCAAAAAGTCGTACATGGATGCTAAGCTTGGAATCGGCATCTCCATCACCGGTGGTAACAAGCCAGTTTTGAGATCCGAGTTCGACTTGCTGAGTCAAGAGGCTTTCTTCCAGCATGATGTCCGTCGCAGTGTTCAAGGTGTGGAGTTCGACAAGTGGCTGCCGCTGCCGCTCAGCAGACGGCACTGGAAAGGTGTGAAGACGAACGCGGTAGCATGTCTGCAAAGCATCCATAACCACGCTGGAATTCGCAGCAGCGAACCTGATGATATTGATGTTCTGTACTACCTGATGAACAACGTCGTAGTGCAGTTCTCCGCAGACGCTGGGAAGGGGTTCCGACAACCAGACGAGCGCAGCACCCTCAGCCACGCTTCAGAGAAGGCTGTCGAGGCATACTTCGCCTGCTTCCACTTGTTGCTGTGTCTGGTTATGGAGAATACTGCCATCGTCAAGGCTGCGAACAAGATGATCAACCACTTCATGACTGGCCCGCATACCAAGAAGCAGTTCCCTGATCTCGGACACGTACTCGTCGCAGCCCTTGTCTCTGATAACGGACTCACCCAACCTCTTATCTTCCAAATCGTCAAGGAGGCAATTCTCCGCAACGTTGTGTGGATGCTCGATTCGAAAGGCGCTGACATGGCTGAGCTGGCCTATCTGGAGCCATCGGCCATATCGGAGTACCGTCTGGTCAAAACCTTCGAAGCATCAACAACATCATATCGACTTCTCATGTTCCTCAAAACATTCAGCTCCTCCGCTCGCCCCGCAGGCAAATCGCTAACGGATCTCCGCGAAACACTCTTCGATAGACACGGTGCGCCGCCGCCAGGCGTCTCTGCGGCAATGGCTCAGCGGATTCATGAGATCCATGAGATCAACGGCTTCCCTGGCTTCCTGAGGGCTATGGGCATCGAGGACGTCCCTAGCAAAACTGAATTTACTGCTTTTCTTCGACGCACTATCACAGACAGTGTGACGGCTAGATACTCGGTCATGCCCTTGTCGCAGTCTAAGCTGTATATGATCCGCAAGGTGCGTGAGCGCGGTGTTGATGTGGCGGAAGGAGTGGAAATCACTGAGGCAATGGTCACGTGGTACAACAGGGGCGAGAAGTGGTACAGGAATGGGTGGAATGGAAGACCAACTTTCTTCCCCGAGCGCAAGGCGAGCTCCAATGGGTCAAGAAGGGGAGACGGGTCGAGAAGATGTGGAAGAGGAGGCAACGATGGAAGACGAGGTCGCGGTGAAATCTGCAGAATCTGCAACGCTTATCATTAGGCTCATGCAGACGCGAAGATCCATCAGAGGTGTTGCTGCAGTTGATTGATTGATTGATTGATTGGTTTAACGTCCTATCTGAGTCTAAGACTATGGAAGACGAGAGGAGCAGTAGCTCCTCTGGTAATGCAAAGATTTAGTTACATGAGAGTGAGGTCAATGGAGGTACAAGTGATAGTGAGGGCTCAGGCCCAGAGCAAAGATGCTAGAAACAAAAGAAGTACAAAACAAACAAAGAAAGGAAAGAGCAGATGTTATTGTAACACTATGCCAGCTCTTCTGATGACTGCCCAAGATGCCACCTCCTTGTGCCAACCTTGGTCCTGCTGATGAAGTCCAAGGTGGCCTTGATGCCTTGCTTGGTGTGGAGGAGGAGAGGGAGAGTCAGCTGTACCTTACCAAGACTGTCCTGCAGGATTTTCCGGTCTGTGTTCAGCCACTTGCAGCTCAGGAGCAGGTGCTCAGGAGTCTGCTTG